TCGATTTCCTCACAATCAATAAGACCCAAAGCGATTAAACGGCCTTGCTATTTCTGCCGCACTACTACGAGCGATGAGACTGTTGTTCCAAAAATATTGTGGAATAATATTTGACATGACTCCACATTGCCTACGTTTATTTCCTATTCGTAAATTGGACGACATTTAATAATAACTACATTAACGAATTACATACACGGTCCTGTAAAAAACCCTGTAAGTGTAAATCGAATTAGACACTATTTTTAACATTTTTACGCACTTTAATACAAATTAATATAAGAAAAATATAAAAAGATGTTTTGTATTCTTTAATTTAAAAAACATTAACAAGTAAAATAAGAAATGTTAGAAAGAAATGTAAATAACTGTCGCGTGTTCTTATCGTTTCTTTTCGATTACAAAGGAATCTCCATCATCGTCGTTGTCGTCATTGTCGTCATCGTCGCATTGCGTTCGTAAAATCGTATATTTCACGCTTGGAGAATTCATCGATAATAGGGATAGAATAGAAATGATTTGTCTAAGTTAATATAATTTCTTTTTAACGTGCTTTGTTAAATAATAACAAATTCTTAGATATTCATTTTTAACTATAAACAAGTTATATTAAAAATTTTTACTAGGTTTGCCATTATAAAATTATTCACTATTGTATTTCTCCATCGATAAGTTATCAAGTATCACATATACATATACACATACATATATTCTGGAACATGCTGAACAAATTTGTGCAAAAGAAGTTGAAGAAATATTTAAAATACGATATAAGATGGTAGATAAAATCGAAGATTATTCGAAAAGCGTAATAATTCCTTCGTCATGGTTGCGGTCATGATCGATTAATTCGAGAAAGGAAACAGGATATTATTAGTAACGATAATTATCAGAATAGAGAGAAAGATAAAGATAAAGATAAAGATAAAGATAGAGAGAGAGAGAGAGAGAGAGAGAGAGAGAGAGAGAGAGAGAGAGAGAGAGAGAGAGAGAGAAAGAAAGAGGAATTAAGAACACGCATTCGATAAAAACGAAATTGAAAGCTCTTTTCTACGAAGGAACCGTCGTTGGATTATTTCTTTCTCGGTTCCCTGTGTTCAACTGCGTACACGTTCATGCATTACACGCACACGCATTGCAATATACATAGCATGCAACGTTCGGACGCATTCACAGCTGTCCATTGAGAGAGATCGGAACGTATATTTTGTTATCTTTTATTTCTTTATTCTTTCCTTCTTTCTCTATAAAGAAAGTTCTTTTTTATAGACACACGCTTAATTTTTTTTCTATGCCGTATATGTATTATGAGATTCGTGTACGCGATTTGTGTACATTAGCAGCAATAACAGCAACAGCAACAGCAGTAACAGTAGCAATAAGAATAATATAGTGAAGCAAAAGATTAAGCAAGTCCATCAATAGATGTAGAACTTTCGCGACACAAGGCAAGGAAAGAAGACAACGAGAAGGATCTGTCATCGTCGTTGTCAAAGATAAAGTAAGCAGTCAACACGAGGAACATGTTAAAGTTCGCATCGACGCAGAAACAGAGAGACCACGAGCGATCAGCTGATTCCTTTGTTTAGGTCGCTGACACACGCGAAAAAAGAGCTCTGCCATTTTCAATCAATATTTCGCTTCTGTCCGGGACCAGCCCGACCAGCTCGAACCAGTCAATCGTTTTAATTAATCAAACGTTGTTACTCGATAATTATCTAGATATTTTCATTTAACGGATATAGTTGATTTTGATAAGAATTTAAATGCTTCTCCCTAGACGGAGGATCGGAGAGAGCTTTCACGTACCTTTGTAGTGAACGCGAAGATTATTTTGTGATAGTCCTATGTAGTTGTACTTGTCTTTTGGGCTCCAAGATCTTGGTAATGGTGTTTCCTCCTCGTTCACCATCGGATATAGCATTTTTAATCGATCCACAACTTGACTCTGTCCACAATTTGTCCTCGAAGGCTCCATAACAATCCGTTCCTCGCTGGTGGCCGCCATCATTGCACTCTGCAATCCCACTCTGCTGCCAGATAGAAATGTGATTGCGCACACGAATCGCGCAACTCGCCTTCTACCAATGAGCACATTGCATACAATATCTAGATTGGAATACAATTATTCGTAAATTTTGTTTCGAAAACGATTATCGACTTTCTCATATATCGATTATCTCGAACTATTTTCTACTCGTTTAATTCTTTCTTTATTTATTTCTCCAATCTTGTTTAAACTTTTAATTCTTTTTCTCAACCAATCAGAAAGTATGACTTTTATTAAAGCGCCATATTAAAAATATATATTTGGAACATTCTTTAGGTATATACATATTTAATTTCATCTAGTCCTTGGCTCATTGTATAAGAATTTTATCAAAATTTTCATATACCTAAGGAAATACTTATTTATAAATTAATGAAATATATTTGAAAGATAATCTTTTAACAAGACACGAATTGGACATATAGCGAACAGTGCCAACTAGCGATTCTCCACATTATCAAGAACTGATGTAAAAGACTGCTGGATTTTCACAAAATTAACATTGTTAATAAATAATTATTATATATTTTTATTTGAAAAACTACAATGTTTAAACGTAAATTAAAAGCTATTGGATATTTGGAATGGGATAAAGTTAATGGAAATAGTAAGTTATTACACTTATATACACTTATTAAGTCTTTAAGATTTGCTTACGTTTCAATACGTTTCAATATTTTCTTTCAATAAAGGTATTTACAATGTTTTGAATTAGAGAAACTATATAGAAGACAATTAAATAAAATGTTTAAAACAAATCTGTTTCTTAGATACCGAACATTTTCGTAAAGTTGTCGTATGGTTGGAAGATCAAAAAATTCGACATTATACTATTGAAAAACGCAATGATTTACGAAATATTAAGTCTGATAAATGGTCAGAGGTTTTCCAAAAATATTGTAAAGATGTCAATTGCCCATTAACTACTAATCCACTTGACCAGTTGGAATGGCTCATTAGACATGCAGTCAATTTAGAATATACTGATAATTGTAAGTCAAAAATATAACTATGCTAAATATATTTAAATCTAATGTAAATTTAATATATATAATAAAAATGTTATATTTGTCATAGATAAAAAACTTAAGCAAGTTACTGAAAGTAAAAAAACTAAACTAGAATCTGTACAACCAAGTTTAAAATTAACAAATCCATTAGATAATTTAGATTGTAAGTATTATCTTAATGTTTAATTTTGAATATCATATTTGATAAAATGTATTAATATTTAACTTTTTACTTCAGTTAACAGCAATGAATTTAAAGATGGCGTTAATGCTATAGCTAAACTCTTGAATATTCCACAACATTCTAGTCATCTTGTTACACTTGAGGCTTGTAGCAAACTCGTATGTAATCGACTGAATGCAGCAGCAATTGCAAATCCTGATACTGTTATTGTCAAAGGCAAGCCATTTCCAATTACAGATACCAAATCTGGTATCAGTTTAGGCGATGTTGTTTTAGATAATACTGCTACATATTTAACGTTGTTATACATTCATGATTTAAGGAATTTGCAAACTAAGATTAATGAGTTGATTGTTTCTGTACAAAATGTTACAGCCAATCCTAAAACTAATACCAAATTAGGAAAAGTTGGAAAATAATGTGTATTATATAAATTTTTTTCTTATATAATGTACAACAATAATGATCTATTTATACCTAATTGATTGTAATTATCTAATATATATGCTTTATTAATGTCATTTGTAACGCGTCATCAAATTTATTCGTTACAGATATTAATGAGTAAACGAATAGTTTAAATTATAAACACACACTTTTTCTAGTATAATGATATATTTTATAAATTATCATATAGTCTGAATTTTTGAGTACCTTCTTTGTTATGATGTGTGAATATACAATTAAATAGTAATTATCTTATCGAACTCTATAAATAACTATTAGAAAAAATAGAAGAAATCCTTCATTATCTTGATATTTTATTTAAATTAAAAATACTACTTGTCTTTATATATGCAATTAGTATTATATAGAACATAATACTCATTAAAAAGTTAATAATTTAAATTTTTAAATATCGTGGATCAATATAAAATGAATCTATATAACTATAAGTAATTAAAAACATCACAATGTGTATAGGATATTATAAAATACATATTTTAATGTAATACATAAATAAATGGAAAATTGAATTGTATCAAAACAATTCCTGCTAAAGCAGTAATTAAAAAGTAATCTAACTCACTGATTTATATATATTATTATTCTACAATGATGAAATAAGCTTTGTTGTATAAGTACTTTACTATCCTTAAATGTAACTAATAAATTATTTCACAATAAAAGAATCGAAATAAGATAAATATATATTAAACAAATCATTTTTAGTCTTTCATTTTGAAAATTTTATCATAAATTTTGAGAGAAATATTATAACTATTTTAATATTATGCATATTACAAATAAA